CTGCATATATATTTCCCCTTTTTAAAATCTCTTGAGTACTTAGATAACATTATATTCGTTTTTCAAGCATTCCATTCGATCTTTAATAGCATATGCCTCGTAGCTATTTTTTTTTCTTCAAGAATATGCCTCATAACTTTAAAATGAATCGTTTTTAAATATTTTTTTTGGTGACATGACTTTTTTTTATTTATTATACATTTAATACCCTATAACTTTCAACGGATTCATAATATACAATTACGAAATATTTCTTTTAAAACATTGTGTCATTGTAACCTTTAGATTGATTTTTTTAAATAATTTCTTGTTTTGATGAAATGTGCCATGAAAATGGGATTTTCTAGACTAGTACTCCATGCGGTATCAATTATAAACAAAAAATATCAAAGTTTTTGGATCTTAATAATTATAAGCAAAAACTACCAAATTTTAAGTATAATTAACACATGTTTCTAAATATTCCCGTCATTCAAAATTAGAAAAGAGGCTAGTGATTGGAATTATCGCAATAATTTAGATAAATAACTGACTTTCATGAATCTTTTGTAACAGTTATTTTAATTTCTTGTATACGAGACAATATAGTTATGTTAAATCTTTCAGCCACGATGAGGCTTTAGAATTGTTTTAAAATATACATGAAATAACCCTTACATGTATATTCTTCACATGCAGTTCCCAAATTTGGGGCTTTGGATTCTCAAATTTTCTTAGTGGAGGAAGCTTGATTAATTTCTTTGTTTTTTAACTTTATTGCCCAGAATATATGCTGGAAACCTAGCTTGGGAGTATAACCATCACCTGCTAAGACTAATATAAACTTCTGCCATGTGTGGAACTGCTATTACCAATGGCAACATTATAGGTACTTCATAATGATGCTTTTGATATTTTTGTTTAACATGATTGCATACCTTAAGACTCAAACTTAAAATCTCATAATAAGTTAATTTAACTTTCTTGACTGGCCAGTTAAACCAAGTTCCCCTCAATAGCTTAATTAATTTCTCCCCATTGTATTTTATTGCAGTTTTAAATTAATTGATTAAATATAAATTTAAAGGCATAAATTAATTTGCACCTCAATATATTATCAACTACCTCAAATTTAATCTGAAAACCCTCACTTAATAAAAATAAACTTGGCCTGCTACAACACATTTTGATGTGTAAGCAAAATATGGTTGACACTACAGAAGTGAAATTACCTTCAAGAAGAGAATTGCCTCCTAGAATGTTTTTTTTTTAAAAAAATTAATCTTTAAATCCTTGAAATATTAACTCATTTTAAACTCAATCTATCAAGTATAATTCTTGTATAACTAGATCCCTGAACTATTAACAAATTTGGGTTTATAGAGGTAACTAATAAAGATCACAGAGCTAGTTTGCTACTTTTTTAAAAAAAAAATTGAATTCTAAATTTTATTTTGAATGAAATTGAGTCATTCTCTTGAAATTTATGTGTGGCAACTAGGGGCACTTCCACACTTAAATTGGTAGAATATTTGCGTAGATATTGTAAGGATTTGAAGGAGGAAGGCGAACACGTAGTATAGTGCCAAATGGAATACCGAATGAGGGAACTAAATTACGGGATTGAACTCAGTTCATAAACTCACAGCAAACACAAGAAGAGAAAAACAAAGAAAAAGAGAGGAAGCCTTATGCACCCACATAATTAATTTTCCCTTCGTCTGTCTACTATAAAAACACCCACTTAGTGATCACTATGGAGAACGTGTGCTTACATATGAAAAACCTTTCCAACCAACATTTAAAATGACTATGGGAATATCACAATTCTAACCTTAATTTTATTATGCACAAATACCCAAATCTCTTCAATAGTATCATAAAACCCCGACTCTAATTGGGTTTTGATCCACCAAGGGTGAAAAACCCAACCCAAAAAATATACTCCCTTCGTTAAAAAATGTAAAGCATTTTTAACCGAATCTCATCCCCCAATAAAGTAATTACCTACTTTCTAACTAACCTTATCTTTCTATATTTATCCCTATTAAATATCCCACAATAAACATAAGGTCATTATCAATAGAGACACTTTTTTAAAAAAAAGACAATGATTACACTTTGAAAGACTAAAAATGCCTTATATTTTTGAACATTCAACTTCTTAAAAAATGCCTTATATTTTTAAATGGAGGGAGTGTATACTTTCATCTCTTAAACTTAAATGTGTCAAACTTTTTTTTCTTAGTATTTGAACTTTTTGAGTTTTCATTTTAGAATATCATTAAATGCCATGGTAGATAAAACCCCCAAAAAAAAAATGACAAAGTGATAGAGACAACAATAATGCCCCAAATGTAATGCGAATAATAGAGCTTAGTCGCCAACCACGCATGGAAATCCCATGCTAGTGTGTAAAGACTTCTATGTTTTTGAAATTAATTTATAAACTGCTGATGCAATGTATTATATTAGCAATAAAGACAAAAATAGGCAACTTGTTTTCCTCTCTCTTGTTACTAATAATAGAGATGTATATATATGATGATTGGGATATTAATTTCATAGCTATTTATGATTTGCATTAAATAATTTATAAAAATGAAAAAAGTTTGATTCAATAGTCATTGGTGAAGCTAACAAGTTTTGTGATAGTCGCTTCCTGACTGTATTTTAGGATAATGTTCTTCCTGTGGGCCACTAATTTTACAATTAGGTTTCACGAAATTGATATCTTTTTCATGTGTACTTACAAATATTTCAAAGTTTACAAGCCACATAAGAGCAACCATACTTCTTCAAATTCAAAGCCATTCATTATTCGTAATCTTCCCGATGAAATGGCGATAATGATGTCACAGAGCCATTCATTTGCTTGTTTAAAGTTGTTTCTTTTCCTTTCTTTTGTTTTTTGTTTTTTGCAATGCTCAGCCATAGTCTAATGTGGCCAAAATATTTAGCTTTTGATGCACTGCCACATGGAACCAGTTAGGCAGGAAAAGAACCAACTCAAAAACAGTGAAAATATTAGGAACTGAATTTTGAGTTAATAATTCAGGAATTAAGTTATAATATGATATAATTGAAGGATTAAATTATAAATAAATTAATATTTTATGAATCAAAAAATTAATTTTCTTTTTTTAAATTGCCCATATATAATTTTTTTATTTATAACAATTATATTTAAAATATGATTTGAATATTAAACTTGAGTAAATAAAATATTTTAAAAATTAGTTTTTCAACCGATGGCCTTGCAAAAGAGGCTTTGGATTTTGGAGGCTTTTTACAGTGGTGTTACGTTACAGGAAGGAATAAATCCAAAATGAGATGACAATATGATTGATGTTATTATATATACTATTGCAACCTTTGTCCTTTGCTTGTGGAAGGAAGGCAATAGACAAATCATAGTTTTCTACTGTTAATATTAATAATTATTTCATACTGTTACTTTTACCACTCTTTTGCACTGGAAAAACATGGTTTAATTTTTTTTTAATGAGATAGTGACAATTAAAGACTATATAAAAAGAACAATGTAAGATGAGAACCTTTAAATTGTAAATATTATATTCTTGTTTAATATTAATTCCTTTATAAAGTCCTTAATTATCATTCTCCTATTTTCCCCTGACACGCACATGTTCTTTTGCTAATCAGTAGTTCATTATCTTTACAAATAAGGTTAGCTGTTAAATAGTTTTCTGGGTCAGGAGTTATTTAAATTTCTCTGAATCCATGTTTCTTCCAAGTCCCTGCAAGATGGATCCAGGAATTATTGGTGAATCATTTAAAATTAAAATCTTGCTTCTGTGATTTTCTACTTTTACATTCCAACTGGTAGTTTAAAAAGATAACCTGACCTGCTGGAAATCTGAGATGCCATGAACATAATGAAAATGAAATATTATTAAAGAAAAATGACAGCTACGTTTTAAAATATTAAATTAATGATAGTCAAGTCATCACAATTGAGCTTTAGATATTAATTCAAACAATTATAAATAAAAACCGTAAATATAATTTGAAAATTACATTTGAAACTTAAATATTTTATTTGCAATTAATACTTCTACATTTATACTTATTTAAATCAATACTTGTAACTCATTCATCAAAAAAATTTAACAAGGACCGGATGATTATTAATTCAACCTACTCTCTCCATTTAGTATTGTGAGATACTTTTGATTAAATTATATCTTCTAATGAGTTTATTAATTATTTTTAAAATTATATACTCTTTTTATATTTATTCTTATTTAATAAGATGTTTCAATTAAAAAAACCTTATTAATTATATATCTTAATTAAGAATGTTTTTAAAAAATTTTTATTAATTTCAGTATTGAAAGACCCAAAATATTTTATATTTTTTAATATTTTGAATATGATACTTTAAAAGAAAATATCTTGTAATATTTAAGAGAAATAGCAGGTTTCGTTCGCCCTATAATTAATGATAGTTGGACAGAACCCAAATTTGAAATGACAAGCTGTGCAGACAGTGATTATGATTTAAGCGCCCAGAGTGACTGACATGAACCCAGGACCGGGTGTGAATGTGAGCTTATGGGTTATGTGGCTTGGATTAAGCCCATATAATAAGATCAGGCTCATTAGTCTCTTTCTCAAGGTCCAACTTCACATTTTTTTTTTGGTAATAAACTTCTCATTATTACAATACAATAATCATGCTTTCCTGTTGGAAACTCATCCTCAATGATGAGTTTCGGTACTCTATCAGTGATGAGCACACTGCTTACCATTGTGATGACATATTGATCATCCAAAATTGATTTTAACAGTTTATATTTAAAATTTTAAACTAGTAATTTTTCATGCAAATTTTTTTTTTGGAAGAGTAACAATTACAAAATTATCTTTATTTAAATTTTATACCTATTAAAATAATAAATTATTAACTCACAAACATTGGTCCTAGCAGAAAGGATTATGGCTGCTTAAGCACAAGGTCTCAAGTTCAAGTCCACCATGTGAATGCAGAAAACACATTTGAGAGAACTATCTCTAATTAGGCCCAACTTGAATCTCACCAACTCAAATAGCCATATCAAAATGCTACATGAATGTAAAACAATGTTGTCTAGTTCTCCTACAATAGATGATGATAACAGTCATCATCACCCTGATAATAATAAGAATCTGTGTGTGAAACTTGAAACTGTAACTAGTAGGAGGTAGGCACTCACATTGTCCTAGTTTTTGGGTTATGAAGATTTCATCGGTGGCCTCGAACTTCCTCATGAACTATCTGGTTGGTTCATGAGATGGAGAAGCTATAACTGTCCATTTCAATAAAGCTATTGGAGCATTAATGGAAATTAAGCATAGAAGACTTGAATTGTATTTCATCCATGTTTGTTTGCTGTTTGTACACATGAACTTCACAGTTAACATCAACAACGGAAAAATTTGGTGATCCACATATGGATTCTATTTCACATAATTCCAGTCCTATTTCATGAACCAGTTACGGGTAGAAGTCAAAATGGAAAGCTCATCTCAAAAAATGATCCTATTGAGTGAAAAAGCTTCTTAATCTTATAAATCTCATTTGACTCCTAAAGCTCCTTGATGTGAAAGTCATAACAAACCTATCAAGGCTCTTCCACCCCTTTTCCTCAAAGGCTTTTCCTCACAACATCAATAACAATATTTATAAGCTCAGTGCCCCCAGTGTAATGTCCTTTTGACTACAGTTGATTCACTTGAGTGATCTCAAAATAACGCCTCTAGCTCAGTTACAATCTTAATGTTGAAAAACTTATCAGAATATCTCCTTGGAGCTTTTCACAATGGTGCACTGTAACTAATGGTGAAAATACTCCATGTCAATCTCAAAAGTCTATACAATATTCAGAAAAATTTATAGGAACACTACTGAGGGAGAAAGGTTAAGTTGCAGAATAACTGAAAACAGATAAAACTGGCACACCTATTATTTAACCTTGAGTATTAAGAGTGAAAAATTTTGTAAATGTACTTACAAAGTATGTCGTCTAAATAGATTCTGCAAAAATTGAAAATAAATATATCAGGTTAGCGTTTGTTGATCATCCATGAAAGTGTTATCTAAAATATTTACTATGATTAAAATATGATTGCGAAACCAAGCATAACTAACTAAGAATTGAATTATCCATGTCTCAGCTTTGAAATTTGTACAGAAAATTAATACGAATCTTCACTATAAATTCTACCAGTCCTTCTTAGTTATGCTACCCTGAAGCTGATATTGGTAAACACAGCGAGTCTCACTATACCTAAGGCATATACTACTCTGGCTCTTAACATTTTTAATCTTTTAGAAGGATTTGTTGGTCTTAAATATTAGTCACTTTACAAGATGCCTAGGCATCAATTATTTTCGCTCCACATGTGCCCTTTAGCTTGTTTCATCTGCAATTAAGAAGTGTGACTAGGTTGTTCTATTTCATGAGAAGATAAGGTGTTGAGAAACATGCCTTATCCAAGGAAATACACCAAATCTTTAGAATTTATTGTACTTAGTAAGGGCAATGTTGGAAACCATTAGAACTTTTTGATAAATTTAAGGATCCAAACCAACCTTTGACTCTTTTTCTTAGCTTAATTAGTAGTCACATATTTCCCAAATCCTCAATGAATACACCACTTATAAAACATAAAATAAATTATAAACTAAGTAACATATAGTATAATAGTACACACAATTGACAAAAAGAAGCACAAGGCATACCATTACTTTCTTTTAGTGAAGATGTATCACTAATTTTCTATTAGCAAAAGTAACCACAAAACAGAGATGATTCTAAAAAGATTTGGTTTATTGAAATTAACAAATATGTTTCCAAAGTAAACTCCTTATCTTTGTCAGCTAAGCAATAATTTGGTGGTGATTTAACATTTGATAGCTAATCAAACAAAAATCTCAAACATACCCGTTGGAAACACCATCTTTATTTTGTTAAATAAATGAGCAATTTGGTGTGTTTAATTCTTCTGCAATATATGAGAGGGGAAAAAAACTTGAAACAGAAATATTAGTAGAAAGTAGAGGCAAGCCTTGTCTCTACTCTTTGTATTAATGTGTTTTACCTTATCAGTTGCCTTGAACTTCCTCATAAATTTCTTGGTTGAACTTCTTGGCTGGTTTATTAGGAGAAGCTATAGCTCTCCGTTTCAATGAAGTTCTTGAAGCATCCATGAAAAGTAGAGGAGACTTGAACTGGACATTCTCCATGTTTGTTTGCTGCTTGTAGACATAAACTCCACAATTTATTATCGACAAATCTGGTGGGTCACATACGGCTTCTATTTCCACATAATTTCAATCCCCTTTCAAAAACCTATTAAGGCTCATCCACTCTTCTCTCTCAAAAGCCCTTCTTGGATTGAATAAAAACACGTGACCTTCTCTACTTGCATAAACCATTTGACTTAAAATTTTCTTTTCTATTTTACAAGATCTGATGTTCAAACAAAGGCGGAAGTTCTTCAATCCTGCATTTGCATTTGCTTTCCCGAACTCAAATGCCAAGGCAACAACAGGGAAATTCTCACGAGCATGAAAAGACAAGCTCCTTCCTTCACAGCAATTATCAAACCAATCTGGAAACAATGTTGCAGGCATGCGGATTTCAAGGCCATTGATCTCCTTCATTGCCTAAAGTACAAAAACAGCAGAGACCAATGGCATTATTCATACTTGAAACAATATATTAAGAGAACTTCATAAGTTTTATACCTTTAGAGCTCAAGTATTCACCCGTAATTTTAAAGACTGTGCTGTCTTGTGTGGATTAAGTGTGCTATATGCAATTATGACTTTAAATCGTGCCATGCAAGAAGAGATTTCAGCTCAGCAATCTATGAGCTTGTCCATTAATTTGTGGGTAGAGACAGAAGACAAGCTGGAAAACAATACTAAAAGCTTTTTAAGTAAAGGAAAACTAAATTGAAAGAAATAATTTTTTCCCCAAAAGTTAAGGCAGTTTGAACATGAAAAGATGGAATCAGTCACCTGTCAGGACAAAAGAAAATATTATATAAAAATAATTAGAGCCTGAGACCATAAACGACTTGATGACTCTGTAGTTAATGATGTGCAGTTCTCTGCCTTGATGATCTCCAACTTCAATGGAAGCTCTGATATGTCTCTTAGATTCTTGCAGTTATTCACTTCCAGATTTAACAAATTAGCACACTCTTTAATGCAGTTGGGAAGGGATACAAAATCATTCCCGGATAGAACCAAAATCTCCAAGTTCTGAAAACAATTCAGAGTGAGGCGAAGATCTTCATCCAATAGACAGCAATTTTCAAGATTCAAGATCTCTAAGTTGGTGCAGCTATTCACTTGCAGGCTTTGCTGCTCTAATTTCTTTATTGATTTTTTGCAGCAACTTCGAGTGTCACCCAATTCAAGCCAGCTAAGACTTTGCAGCATGAATAAGCTATTTGGAAGCTCCCTAAGACTTTTGCAAGAGCTCATATCAAAAATTTGAAGCCCTGAAAGATTTCCAATGGAATGTGGGAGCTCTTTAATAGCAGTGTCCACTGCAAAAATATCCCTTAGTGCATCCATCTTTCCCACTATATTTGGAAAGCAGTCAAGATTCTTACAGTAACTTAGTTGAAGGGATACAAGTGATGCCATATTGATTTCACGTGGAAAGCTTCTAAGTTTGGGACAACCACTAACATCTAATTCAACCAACTTAGAAAGAGATCCCACAGAATCATGGACCTTGATCAAATTGTTGCATTCATTGAACAACAATTTTTTCAAATTTTGAAATTGAGACAAGTCAGGTATTTCAGTTATGGACTCACAACGAGAGAAATCCATATATGTCACAAACTCAAATCTCTGCAAGATAAAAATTAAATAATTAGTTAACAGCGACTATCAAGTGATATTGCTTTTTTTAGAAAAATACTGCAACCTCTCACTTATTTGTCTAGTCTTATATAGACCTCTACTCTATTTCTAAAATCTAGAAAAGTCTCTTTTTAAAAATAACTCCCTGTAGAAAACTAATTTTAAAATGTCTAACACAATTTCTAAATGTCAATGGTTAACTCTAAGTTATAAATTCAAAACTCCAAAATATCCCTAAATGAGCTCTCTCGTGTTCTTTGTATTAAAATATGCTGAAATATTCTCATTCAAAAAATGCCGCAAAAGATTGTCCTCTTTTTCAAAAATTTCACACTAATGTACCGTAAAAGTAATCGAAATATTTTTTTTTTCGGTCACTTTAAAAGTAATAGAAAACTGATTATATCAATATTCATTACATACAACAATTTTATCAACATTAACAACAACAACAACATTAACAACTCCGCCTATATTATATAGCCGGTCTCAAGCTTGAGTAAAGGAGGAAGATTGTGTTAGGTCCTCAATAGCCAACGTAAAACTTAGTTGAATCTTACATGGATATGAACAATTTTATCAACATTAACATACAATTAAAACTTTATATATCAAATTCCAAATTTATTAAAACTAATTAGTTTTAAATCTGAATTTATGTAGCTTGATTATTTTAAAACATACAAAGGAGATTTGCACAAATTTAAGAAATACATGAGAGGTCTAAGGATAATAATAAAAAATAAAAAGGAACATTGGAGCAGTTAATTCTTGATTAGAGGCAAACTATAAAGAATTCGGCCAAACAAATAATTTTAGATTAGACAGAGAAAAGCACCTTGAATGTCTCTCCCAGTCTGAAATGACTACCACATAACTTGAAGCAAACTAATTTCTTAGGATAAAAATCTGGCGGTAGAGTCATAGAAGGGTATCCATCCCAATCAAGCAATCTTAAACAACTTGGAAAATATTTAGCACCTGTAGAAAACTTGGCATTTCGAACAATGAGAATTCTGAGATTAATCATATTCTCAAAGGCAGTACCATTCCACTCCACTTCTTGTTGCGGTGGATCAAGCATTATTCCTTCAATATCACTACTTCCCTTTAATGCAAGTTCAAAGCAATAACATTCATTAGACATTACCAAATAGACACAATGTATTTAATGTGTAGAAACAAAAAGGACTTAGATTCTTACCAAATTTTCATGCAGTACCCTTAGAACATCTCCATAATACCACAGTCTACTGCGTTTACCTAGATTTGATGGTGCCTCTTGCCTAACAATCTCTCTACCCATTTTTTGTACCAGATCATGCATCCAAAACCGGCCATTATTACTAACAGTTATAAGAGATTTATCAACAAGCACTTCAATAAAAAACCTGACCCCATAATCATAAGCCTCTGGTATTTCTTCAATATATTTCATCATATTCTTGAAGAAACAAGCAATATCCAAGAAAATACTCTTAGCCATATCCTGTAAGCAATCATAACTTATCTTTAGCACCTCATGAATTGTTTTTTCTGGGATCCTTTCATATTGTTCAAGTGTAAATCTCCATTCTTCAATGTTCTTTTGAGCCAAGTTACTACCTATTACCCTTAAAGCCAAAGGAAGGCCCTGTGCATAACTTATTAAACGACCAGACATATCTTGATAGCATTTTGGAGGTTGGTTCATATGGAAGGCATGCCAACAAAAAAGTTCCATAGCATCATGATCATTTAGCTTCTTCATTTCATATGTTTTTTCAACATGATGTGCAATTAGTAATTGCTTATTTCTTGTGGTTATAATAACCTTGCTTCCAGAACCAAACCATTTAGAGCTTCCAGCAAGTTTTTCTAACTGTTCTAGCTCATCAACATCATCAAGAACCAAAAGAACTCTTTTGTGAGAGAGTCTGTGTTTTATTTTAGATATTCCTTCATCAACACTGCCCAACTTCATCCTTTCCTCAAGAATCTCTGATAGAAGTGTCTGTTGGAGATGAACCATGCCTTGGTATTGCTTTGAAGCTTCTGTGACATCAAATAGAAAACATGCACCATCATATTGGTAGAAAATTAAATTATACAAAGCTTTGGGAAGAGTTGTTTTGCCAATTCCACCAGTTCCATGAATCCCCAAGATACAAACTCCATCATCTAATTGATCCAGAAGTGACATCACGTCTTCTATGCAGGACTCAAGTCCAACGATGTAATCAATGCTATGCAGGCGTTTAGGAGGTAGCATGACAAATGCATCTTCAACGATCCTTTCAATAAACCCGGATTCATTTCTGCAAAATTGCAAATTCTTTTGATCATGAAGACAATTCGTGCAAAATGCCATTTGTTCCTCATTCATCATAATTCTATTTTATTTTATTTTATTTCTACTTTTGTATAGTCCCATTTTGAACGTCCAAAAACAATATCATGTTTACCCATTTTTGTGCAAAATAGATAAGAAAGAACGACGGATAAAACAAAGCTTGCACAGCTTTCAATAACATCAGACACTCTGTTGAATGCCACACCTTCTACACTATTTCCAATCAATGGAGAGATTCACATTTGAACTGTAAGAATGAGAATGGTCTGTGTTAAAATTTTCACAAATCTTCAATAGAGTGGTATGTCATGTCACAACAATAAATCAAGTCAAGAATCATTTAGAAAAAATAAAATATAACAACCTACCCATCTTCAAAAAGCCATGCCGATGACAGACTAGCAGCTTCAGACAAAGCAGACCTCCATTTGCGCACTTTCTCCATATCATTTCTGAACCTATTTTCATGGGCAGCCATGGCTTCTCCAAAGCTATTTGTCTGATGTTGAACATCCATCGGATTCACTTTATAAAAGATGGGCATAACCAGCTGGTTCTTCTCCTTCTTACACCGAATGATGTGGGCGAGTTCATCCAGGCACCATGTGGAAGTAGCATAGTTCCTAGAGAACACAATAATCGAAATCCTGGATTTCTCAATGGCTTTAAGAAGCGCGGGTGAGATCCTTTTCCCTTTGCCAAGCTTCTTGTCATCAATGAAGGCGTTGATTCCCTTCCGGCGCAAAGCATCATAGAGAATCACAGTGAAGGAGTGGCGAGTATCTTCGCCTCTGAAACTCAGGAATACATCATATCAATACTTGGTTTCTCTGGTGAAGGCAAAAGAAGGTGGTGCTGCCAATTGAATCGCCATGATCGCTATAACTACTACAAGCGATTAGATGAAGGGAATTTTTCCTACAGGCAGATAGCAACTTACAGAAACGCGGTTCATCACCAAATTAATAGCACACGACAAGTTTAATTGAAGGTGGGTGTCTTTGGGGATCCGATACTTTCACGCGTGAATATTGAAAGAGCATGGAAAATGTGTAGAAGACGCCTCAGCGGCTTTGCCTCCCTGGACTCTGGCCCTGTCTGGTATGAAGGATTGAAAGAGTGGGATTGGTATTGAGGGTGAGTAATCCCATATTTTTATGTTTGGTAGGAGGGATTGAAAAATTTAATACTAAACCCAATCTCATTTAGGTGAGATTATCTAGTACCATCTCTCACCTGGTATTGGAAAATCAACCCTGAGATTGATTTTTTTCTAACCAAATTACCCCGTTCTCTCTCTCCTCTCTCTCTCTCTGTGCCCTCGTCATCCCCTGCGCTCTCATCTCTCTCCCCCATCCTCTCGCCATCTTGTCCCTCCCCCGCCCTCTTGTTTCTCTCCCTTAACCAAATAACCTCCCTTGCATCTACCACGTCTAATGGGTTAGAGCTCGAGTTTGAGTCTATCCATTTGTCTTCCTCCCTTTCCCTTCTCTTTAGATCCAGATGTAGATCGTGTCTTCCCCATTTCTGGGTTGCGAGCAGTGTGGCAGAAGCAAGGGCAGGTGAAAACAGAGCCGCCCTCCTCGACGGAGATAGAGACGGAGGGAGTTTAAATATTGGCTCGATCTGTTCATGCCCCTCGTCCCTTGAAATTATTTGCGAATTTTGCTAGATTTTTAATCTGTGCTTCATAAATTTCTGGGTGGTGGTTATTTGTTTGTTTACAACTTTTTCAAACTGCAACAAAGTAAAGCACATTGTAGCTGATGGAAGGAATAATGGTTTAGGGATGGCTGGAAAATTTGAGTGGAAGGAAGAAGATGAGGGCATTTGTGTCTTTCTTGTAATTTGTTTGTTTCAATTCAGACTCAATTTTTTTAATCCCTCGGTGCACCAAACAACATTTTAAAATTTATTCTCATCCCCAATTCCATTCTCAATTCCATTCTCAATCCCATTTTCAATCCTTCAAAATGTGATACCTCATACCAAACAGGGCCTATATGCCCTACTCGACACCACGAGCTCTTCGAAAGTTAGGGGACTTGCAAATTACAATTATTTATTTTTTTATACAGTTTTAGAATTTAGACATTTAAAATATTAATAGATAGATTTAAAAAATTAGTTTAATCTTTATATTTATTTTTTAAAGTGCAGAAGAGAACGTTTTATATAATTAAAATTATAGATTTTACCTAGGATTGAATCGCAAGTTATAAACATATGCATATTTAATACTCAATTATATTTTGAATTAGATTAGTTCTAATCAAATCATACATATCAGCAATAAAAAAATTATAGAATTTAAATTGTATTAAATCAAAAATTAAAAATTAAGTGATTGGTATGTCATGAAAACAATAACAGAATTGATCAAAGGTCAAATATAATAATTAATTTTTTATTTTATTTTGTGGCTTACACCAAAGTAGTTAAGGTATTTGAAGAAGTCCTATTCATATTTAAAAAGTTCAAGATTTTTTTTTGTGAACAAAAATTCTAGATTTTAAATTATATGGTTAAACATTTAACTTACCTCTAAATTTTTTTACGAGTATGGTGTCACAACCTGTACTTAAAAAAAAAGAAGAATCTATGAGGTTACAATGCTTTTAGAGACATCTAGGACGATGTATAGAATTCTAAGAAAGTCAGACGCTCAAGAAGAATTCAATATATTCTAAAATATTTTAGAAACATTTAGGACAATCTAGATATATCTGAAGAAATCTAGAAGTGTAAAGTCCCCTGTATAATTCAGATTTTACCAATCCACACATACAACACCATACAATAAAAACACAATATCAAAGTTATAGCCCTTAGTTTGTTTTTAAAATACAGAACCCCAATTTTGTAGAAAATATATTCAAATAATAGGGCTAATGGAAGCGTAACTCTTGCCCAACAAACAACTAAAATACAAAATTATTCATCTCAAACAGGGTCGTGCACTGAGGCACGCATCATTATGTGCCACGGCATGTGGCATAGAGCCACGGGCTCTTCTTTTGTGCCATACACTGCAGTGCACATGACAGAAATTTTGTTGCCAAATGACAGTTCACGGAAGCAAATTTTCGCTATGTACCAATTCCACACTTGATATTCTATTTCAATGATTCAAGCATCCCTATGAAGCTTATAATACATTTTATTTAATGGAATAAGTTTGGACATGATTCAACAGTCCGATTCAAATTAGACACCTGGGTGTAAAAAGTCACTTTTAAAAAAAAAAATTAACACTTTAAGTGTTCAATTCTCATTCCTTGTCTTATTAGACCTCTTTAGACCTTGAACTAAGTTCAAAGGGACCAAATACACCTGATTAACACATCACATCACATATATCACATCAAATATAAATTTTAACCTCTCAATGCCACATTATATACTTGCGATCTTATATGAGGCACTACACATAACCATACATGCAATACAATACTACACATATAAGGCTAAGTCTCACCATATAGTCAAGAATCACAAATATGCTTGACTCATATAAATGGGGTTAGGCCTCACCATTTGGTCAATATCCACACACATAAACATTTCATCAACATAATTTGCACATATTTTTAGTGGAACAAGTCATACAACATATCATAAACTTGCTTGGATAGTATCTAGGCCTACCCACATATTCACTGTTGGGATATACTTGATGTGATGCAACATCACTTATATAAGCAAGTTATTCATAATACCACCATAACACATATATAAACTTGCTTGAATAACATTTAGGCCCACCTATGTATACATTACTGTGATACACTTGGCAAGATGCAAAACAAGATACACAAGCAAGTTTTCAAACATCATATTCACATATATGCACATTTATAAACTCTTATGCATCCTAATATGAAACTTAATTATTCACAACTTTACTATACATTCATTATACTAAGGGTAGTCATAACATTATTAATTGAGGCTATTCTTTTCTCATTCTCTTTCCTGGCCTTCTTGGGCTTTCTTCACCTATATACAAAGATAACGGAGTGAGACATACATCCTAATAACTTGAATAAACCCTAAATACAAGTTAGTAAGTAAAATCATAAACAAGAGATCGAATAGTATCATTTTAATAAAATAATACAAATATCCATATATAAAAAATCATATTCAACCATCCACTATGCTCATGCACTTCTAGTTTTTACTAGCGGAGCAAACTCAATGCTTGAACTAAGACTTCCAACCTTACATGAAACAGGGACTAGCAAACTACTGTCTTAGACCAGGTATCATAAATATGGTTGGTCTCTGAGTTCTTACTAGCCGAGCAAACTCAACACTTGGACTGTTAGAACTTTCTAACTTTATATAGAGTAGGGCCACGACCTCCTATGCTAATCTAGGTTACACTTATGGATCATTTTCTTAGGTCTTTCTTGGCGGAGCAAGCTTTACGCTCAAAACTTTTAGGACTTCTTAGCCTTATACAAAGTAAGGCTATGACCTCTTACACTAGTTTAGGGTATACTTTGTTGGATCATGTGTTTTGATGATTACAAAATTAAGAGAAGAAGTATTTGTTATGTGTGCAGAGAAATAAAGAATCATAGATGAAGACAAAACCTCAAGGACATGAATAATCAAGAGAAGATGAAGATAAATGGGATGAGTTGTTTAATTCTCTTAGATTCAATATGAAAATTTTGAGAGCTTAATCACATATTATTATCATTAAAATGAATGCATCATCTTTAGCTTATAAGTCTTAATTATGCACATTAAGACTCATCTTAATACATTCAAGCTTGCAAGTTATGTCATTTTAGCTTACAGTGGTTCATAGAAATTGAGCTTTTTACTATCTAAAGAATCATGTGTGATTTAGTATGATCACACATGTGATTTGTCATGTTAGGCACACCAATTGATGTTTCACACCTAAATCAAAGAGTGATCTACATGTGATTTGTTACTTGTGTTTGTGTGATGCCTTGACATTGCTTATGTGTTCCAAATTATGCAAGCAACCTTATGGTCAACACACCAGAATTGACAAGTTATGTTTCATTGCATTTTGTCAAGAACCATTTCACATGTGAGAGCGGATGGTAACCACACGTAATTTGTCATCAGTCCTCTTGAATACATCTTGCCAAATTAAGTTTTAAGCCATTTCAAGCCTAGTTTAACTTATACACTTGCATGATCTATCATTCATAGTTCTATACCTCTTGATCATGCAAAACTTGCTTGAGTACATAATGGTTCTACACGTGATATGTATTCTAGAATGGTTTAAGTTTTGCAACTCATCATTTCATGCATGAGTGTTGTTGTGTCCCATGTGTGATCTGCCTTTTTGAATAGTTTGGATTTGAAACAAGACATTCCACATGTGATAGTCTATTACTTCTATGTGAGTTTTGTTACATGGAATTGGCTTTGGCATTTTGCCAGCTAAACCATGCATGAAAACATATTAGTTCCATGCAAGTTTTGTCACACAAATTTGGCCTTAGCATTCTGCTAGCCAAATCACACATGAGGATAAGTTAGTCACACGTAAGTTTTGTCACACAGAATTGGTTTTAGTTTTTTGTCAGCTAAACCATACGTGAGAGCATGAGGTTGCACACGAGTTTTGTCACACAAAATAGGCTGCGTATGCATATACTCCAAAAAGTGCATGAGAAACCCTAAGGTTCATGCTTGATTTGTCACATATGTATATCTAAAACTTTGATACAAGCCATTTCACACGTGATATGTTAGGATACACGTAAGAAATAGGCTAGTAACACTGTTCCAATGGCCTGCCAACTGCCAAAACTATATATGTGATACAATTCAAGTGTAAACCAAAACTTTTGATACTTGAGCGAACTTTTCTTTATTTGAGTATTCAAAAAGATTTCAAATTGTGCTTTAGCATTTATCATTGATTTACCATTCTTGATAAAGTTTATGAAAAAGCTCTCACAAGTTTATAAGCTTTCATTCGTAATTTATCTACTATTTAGAAAAGTTTTTCTATAAAAGTTTTTCTTATTCTTATGAAATCTTAAAAAGGAGTTTTTTTAAGTGTAACAACTTGTTGGATTGTAGTAAAGATTGTTGGTTGAATCAAGAGAAGTTAAGTCTTGTAAGTTGTACTGTAGTGGCAAGCACCCATTAAAGCTCGTG